ATCTCTAAGGGAATAAATTACATCCAATTGAGTACATTTTCTGATAAACAATAATATAAGGAATCAAAACCCTAAATTTTTAACACATTATTTCTAATATATCATGAAAAAAAAAATCAAAAGGCGAAAAAAAAAAAAAAAACAGCGGAATTTTGGTTCCGCAGACATCTCTGTATTCATCTCAAATTTCATGCTGTAATTGACCAAATTACATAAAATTGAAAATTTTAAATCATAATAGAGAAAATAAAGATTAAAAACCCTACAAATTGAACTCATTATCTTCAAAATATGTCGTGAAATAAATTATATGGTGGAAAAAAAAAAAACCCAAACTTCTTACCTGATTTTATGAACCGAAGCCTTCAATCTCCAAAAAACTCTGTTTTTCTCAACGATTATCACAAATTAGTAACAAAAGGTTTTGATGCACAGCTTTATGATCAAAATGCCTACAAATTTTGAAAGATTCATGCTCTATTTGGCATGAAACACAAGGAAAGGCGGAAACCCTAAAAATGCAAGTTTCGTGATCCAAAAACACCAAATTTTTCAACCATTTAATCCGTGTAAAAGCTGTTTACAACCTGCAAATTAGATCACATGCCAAAAAAAACAAGAAAAATGATCAAAAAATGACAAATTTCGAAGAATCCCGTAAAGAATACTGTGCAACCCATGTTCTTCACGGACTCGCCGATTCCGCACAGTGAATCGGCGAGTCACTGTGCAGAATCGTCCGGTTCTCTCTAGAACGGGACGATTCCCGTTTTTTTAACCGATTTGATCCCCCCCATGCGATTCCCGAGTCGAACCGGGCGAGTCCGGTTCGACTCGACGTGTTTTTAAACACTGCCCTAAACAATCAAACTCAAAAATTCATTGGAAGAAGTTGTTTTTGATGCCGAAAAATCATCAAATTTGATCATCTTGACGTTGACATAAATAGACGTAAAAAAAAAAAAAAAAACTTAGAGTTTTGGAAATAGTACATATTGTAATACATTATCTAGATCGTCAATTTTCAAGATTTATAGGTGTTCTTAGATGTGCTTGATCTACACTATTTTTTAAGTTCTAGATTTTATAATTAAAGATGAAAATAAATTTTTAGGTCATCATAAAAATTTTTGATACTGAAACGACATCTTTTGACACTAATTGAAGGTGTGTATCATTTCGATTGTTTGGGGCCTCTGCCTTATATAAACCACA